AGCAAGGAATTCGTCAACACGTTCCAGGTCGAACGGTGCTACAGCAATCTCAAAAAGGTTCATTGGCTCATGGCTACGATAAAACTTCAGGTTTCGGATATGGAAATTCCGCACGAATACTTGAGATAGGAATTGAGTGATGAAGACCTCGAATAATAAAGCGACGATAGTCATTTAAATTTCGCATAATTGAGTGGGCCCGATATCCTGATCCATACAAGTTCGAGAGGATGAGGGAGTGATCTTCCTTGTTGAAGCAGGTCACCTTAACTCTGCCCTCATCCAGACGGGTAACCTCATAGTCGATAATCTTCGAGGAGCAGGAGCTAAGGAATCCTTTAAAGTTGAATACTGATGAGACATCCAAAACAATTATTGGGGGATGTCAACCACTTTATTCAATGAAGCAGCCATGGTACAGTTTTTTATTTTCTTTTCCTTAGTGTGTTTGTCAAATACGACCGATCGCAGTTAAGGCTTGTGAAAGAGTGAAACAGAATCGCAATGGCTGAAAAAATGGTGCAGCACAATGAAACGAAAACTACGCATTAGAATAAGGCGACAGCGCAGAGCAACTTTAAGAGAGTAAGTGCGTATAACACTTTGTTCTATGTGTGTGGGAGTTGCATACGGAGGAAAAGAAGCACAGAAAGAGGACCAACCAATAGATTTGTAGTTTTTGTGATAAAGAAATGCATGCATATGGATAATATAAAATATTTGTGTTGCAAGCTTTAATATTGATTCCTTTCTAGTGTTATTTCCTTTAAGATTGGCAGAATAAGGATTTATGCTATAATTTAAATGAACAATTAAAAGATCATCATGACGTAGATGGTTTAATTTCCAAAGAACTTTCATATTGCCATTTAACTGTATTGTAGTTAGGTCTACAAAATACTGGGGGTTGTGTTAATAGGTAAATCATTGGATTGGCTAATAGAACTCCACAGTTTTCAGGATAGTCATTAAGGTGCACTCCTTATAATGGAGCAATGTCATTTTTTGAGAAGGTATCTAGTAATAAGCAGTTAGATTTTTGTGGGGCCACTGCCAGTATTAGTTAGCGGCTTGGGGTCAGCAACAATTGCGTGTATGAGAGAAATGAGGGAATCAAGTTTTATACTTAGGTCACTTACAGAGGACACACTCTGTTGCATCATTAGCAGGAGGTCGCCATTAGTTGATGAGGGAGCAGACCAGGTTCTTTGAGGCAAGCCAATTGGTGCAGATTGGGGGTTGTGTGAGGATGCTGCATTTTGTTTCGGGTAACGGGTTCTCTCGTGCTGGTGTGATTGACTGGTGATTGCGCTGGAATGCATGACAACGTTTATGTTTGAGACATGTTTGTCATTTTCAAGTCGCTGCTCATTCCTAAGTTGCTGTGGAAGTTTCTTTAAATGATTTTCAGCTGGATTACGCGATAGAAGATTTTGAGGAGGCGTATGGGGAGAGTTACTAAACGGATTCCTTTTGCCTAATTTAGGATTTGACGAAGGAGTGTTAGCTTTGTTAAGATGGGGCTGAACGTCAGACATTATAGTTGCTCTACGACCACTAGGAGATCGCAGTTGATCCCTGAAACCTTCACGGATGAAATCCTGCTGTTGTAAGGATGTATTTTGAGGTAGCTGCTTGTACTGTTGCTGATAACTGTCGTAGTAGGTGGGTTGGGGGTAAACCTAACCCTAGATTGGTGTGTCCTAGATTGACCATTATCGGCAGAGTGTATACGATAGGCAAGAAGACGGGTTTTGAATTCTTTGTACACCGTGCAACCTTTATAACTGACAATATGTCCCAGACCACAATTGGCACACTTTGGATTGGCAATTCTAGTATTTGCACAGTCCGTGGAAGGGTGGCTTCCAGCACACTTAAGACAGACAAAGTCTCGGCGGCAGAAGTTCTTTGTGTGTCCAACAGCGTGTGTTTGTGTGTTACCCAGCATAGTAACGGAGAGGATCCTGTCATTAGAGTTATCCAAAGAAGGTGCCAGTTCAACCTCAAACAAATCCAGCGGCTTGTGACTACGGCGGTGCTTGATATTATTTATATAGCGGACAGTGAAGCCCAAGTTGCTAAGGAGTTTGCGGATCTGATCATAAGGTGTAGAATGGTGGAGTCGACGAATAATCAACCTATACCCTCGATCAGAACGAGGTTGGTGAGTATGAGTTGCTTGTTATCAGTCTCTAATTTGTTCATGATTAATTGGTAGGTGGTGGAGTTGCTGCAGGTTATTTTGATACAGTTTCCATTTAGTGCTGTAGTGGTGAAGTTTTTTTCCAAAACTCTTGGAATGGAGTTAAGAGAATCAAGGAGGGGTTGGATGATAGTCACATTATGAAGGAAAATAGCCGGAATTTTATCCTCTGGATTACGAAGAGAAGCCAGTCTGAGCAGAATCGCAGCATCCTTGCTGGTAGAGGGACCATCTTGAAGAAAATTATCCGGAACTTTATCCTCAGACCTATGATTGATGGGAAGATTGGGATCCTTAGTTGAGTTTTTACTCGTGGAGGGAATGTTAGCAACATTTGAATTAAATTTTGGTAAAAGAATATCACTCTTAGAGGAACTAGTGTTATGGCTAGCAGAACCACGCTTGGAGCGCTTGCGTAGAGATAAGGATAGAGGGAATGGTTTCTTCCTCTTACTACACATTGGTCCTCGTTTACCAATGAGCAAAGGAAGCTCCCGAGAAATTTTCGGAGTGGAGGTGGATAACGGGTCAGTGCTACATTCCATGTGGACAACGTCTGAAGTCTCCATCGCAGTGACACTTTCCTGATTCGCAGAGGTAGGTTTATTGATGGCTGTGCAACCAGGAGAGCCTAGGTGATGTAGAGACACTTTTTTCGAAGGAACTAGCAGAGCTGACGATGGATAGAGGTAGTGCATCCACGTTTTCATTTAGATTGACTTCCTCTACCTCCAGACTAAGATCCATGTTGTTGCTGTTGCTGGGATTAGAGGTGATGGGTTCCATCCTACCACGTGTAAAACTCAGTTACGTAAAAGACGACTATGTATGGAGGAGTATGATGGAGTTCTTGCAGTGGATCAGTAGATGTAATGGAGAAGTAAAAAGTATTGGTGCAGTTTGATGAGTTCGTGCAGTTATATGTATTAGCACAATGGTGAGATTTGCACAACGTCAATACAGATAAAATTACAATTGTAACAGAAAAAAAAATGTACGTGTAATAGATGTATGAAGAAGTCTGCCTACGTGTATTCAGCCACATACACGAAACAGATGCTTGTAATAGTATGCGCAAAATTAAAAGTTCACGTGGAACAGTTTTTAAAAAATTAAAAATTGGTTGTGAAGTATTAAAATAAAGCACGCACACTATTCATAGGATTAAGTTAATACACTTGCCACAACATGTATATTTATAATTTAGGAGTAACTTCTTTTTTTTCAGTTCAGGGCGTGCCTTTGAAGAGGTCACAACTAGCACTGATAGCCACTACCAGAGTGGTTACAGCTTTTTATTTGCGTTATATACAGTGATTACTTACACTAATACATTTTATACAAATATTAGATAACATAAGAAGCAATTAATAACAAGCTTATAGGAATAATTGAATTACTAACAGTTTTTAACATATAAGATTTGGAGTATCAATAAAGAGAAAAGTAAACAGAATAACTGAAGTATTTTATGAATAATGCAGATTTAGTATAAGGATAATTATTTACTAAGAACGTTGAGTCCAAGCGTCGACCTGGAATCCTGAAGGCCAAATCAGTGGTCAGAACGCTGGGTAAATGGAGAGCGAATTGGAAAGCCGGTACTCAATGGCAGAGTAGTTGATTGGAGGCTACTGCAAAAGTTAGGAGTTCAGGAGTCACAGATGTAAACAGGTGCAGTTGGTGAGGAATGATGCAGGTTAAGAGTAGTAGGATATAATTTGGAGCAATTAAATAATAGATGCAACAGAATTAGGTAGTAGACAATGAGTATAAAAGAGTTTTGAATTCACTTAGATAAAGATAAAATTCGATCGTAGGGTCCAAGCATCGACCTGAAGTCCTGGTGGCCAAGCCAGAGATTCAAACGCTGGGAAGATGAAGCTGGATTGGAAAGCCGGTGCCCAGTGGCAGGGTAGCTGGTTGGAGGCTGCTACCAGAGCTAGGAATACAGTGCCCGATCCCCAAGTTTAGGGTAATTGGTAATCAGGAGTCATAGATATACGCAGGTGTAGTTGGGAAGGAGTGATGTAGATTTAACAATAGCCAACTGGAATATCAATCAGCAGTCAGGGGTAGCAGGTGCCTGAGAATTTTGAGGAGTAAATTAGTAGGAAAGGTATGGTTATACTGCCTTTCCCGGCAAATCAGTGCCATAGTAATCTTATAATTTTAGTAAATTGGCTGACCAGTCAAGGGTCAGATACATTTGTTTATTTAAGGTAGAGCTTCGTTTAGTTAAACAACATGTATAGCAACAAGTTGCTAGGTAGTGTAGAAACAAATGTTTCAGAGACAGGGTTGCTGTGTGATAGCAACATAAAGAAACTGAGCGTCAGAGTGTAGGGTAGGAGGGCATGTGAGGAATATACATGGGTCTCGCTCTAACCAATGACTTTAAGCATAACTGGCAAAGCTAAGTTAGTATTAGTGCAGTGTGCAATGCAAGAAAAACAATAATTGAGTAGCACATGTTGTTTACAATTTTAGCAATAAGTTTTCTCGTTGCAAATCCATTCCCAATCAAGAAATCAGCGCCTGCATAGGATGTAGTATCAGGGCAAACATCAGCCTTTATTAATCCAAGGTATGTGGCAAAATTTGTAGAAACAAAACAAGTTCGTTCTGACAGTTAATAAGTTGAACATTATCTAGTAACAGGCAATTATATTTGGAGTAAAAAAGCAGGAATTATTAGATGCAAATTTTCTTATTGCAGATCTATACACCAAAGAATATAAGCATAAGTTAACAGCAGTATGATGAATTAATAGATCCAGGCTTGTATTAACAGATCAACCTCACACCAGTGGTCACAGGAATTGAGATTAGAAAGTTACAGTAGGTGGGCAGATTTATTTGGAGCAGATTCATTGTAGCTTTATTCCTGTTTGAGAGTCCAGCACAGGCAGCAGAGCCAACTGCATAGCAGACATCCAGGTTGAATTTACTACAGGTATGTGGATGCAAAAGTAATAGTATGATAAGATTAATCCAAGTTTAAATTATTGTTCCAGTTATGGGGGACAAGCAGCAAGAGGATGCCAAGCAAAGCCAGCGAAGGCAGATAAAGAAGTAGCAGGCAGCATCTGGTTAATCCATGATCCTACAAATCAGTATCACTGAGCCACGTTCTGAGCCAGGGAACTAGTATGTGATTGAATTCCAACTGCAAGGCAGACACCGGGATGGATTAATCGCAAGTATATAGAGAAATTAATAGAAATATGCTGAGTTTAATTTGTTTCCAAAATCCTATTTCCGCAGAGGTATATTAGCAGCAAGGATGACGCCAAAAGCAGAGCGCGACGCTAACTAGCCAAGGTCAAAAATGCGTGGCACAGTGGGACAACCATTCTCCAGGTCCAGCGACGATGCACGGATATCATTGCACCGCGCTCAGTAGACACACAGCACTTATTAACAGGTCCCAAATTAATAGCGCCATATAATATCAGCAGGTATAGAACCATAGAGACTGGAAAGCTTCACTAGGTAGACAGATTCATTTTAAGTAGATTAATGGTAATGATTTCGTCTAATATTTCTAATTGCAGTTTTATTCCTGTTTGAGTATCCAGTAAATGTACCAGAGCCAGTCACATACATAGGAGTCGTTTGAGTTTGGTTAATCACAGGTATGTAGACAAATAGGCAGCAAAATAGTAAGTTTAATCCAAATTTAAAATTTCTGCATGAGTTGTGCAGAATAAGCAGCAAGGAAACGACGAGCAAGGTTGGAGGGCAAATTTAGGAGCAGCAGGCAATCTCCGCTTCCACCACCGGTCAAGAAACCAGCATGTATTTGGGATCCAGCCGCGAAGGCAGACATCAGGATGGATCAGTCGCAAGTATGTAGACAAATTAGTAGCAGCATGCTGAGTTTAATCTGTTATCAAAATCCTATTTCCGTAGAGGTACATTAGCAGCAAGAATGACGCCAAAATAAAACACAATGACAACCAAGCAGGGTCAAGAAATGTATGGCATAGTGGAACAACCAATCTCCAAGTCCAGCAAAGAAGTACAGATAACACTGCGCCACGCTCAGTAGGCACACAGCATTAACTACTAGGCTCTGAATTAGTAGCGCCGTATCATTTCAGCAGTCTCGGAACCATTGAGATTGGAAAACTTCACTAGATAGGCAGATTCGCCTTGAGTAAAGCAATGGAAATGACTTCATCCAATATTACCAACTGCAGCTCTACTCTTGTTTAAGTATCCAGTAACTGAACAGAGCCAACCACAGCATAATAAGTTTAATCAAATTTAAAAATTCTTTATCAGTTGAGTAGGATAAGCAGCAAGAAGAACATCGAGTAAGGTTGGAAGGCAGATTAGGAGCAGCAGGTGAACTCCGATTTGTTACTGGTTCAGAAGCTAGTATGCGTTCAGGATCCAGCCGCAAAGCAGACATCAGGACGGATCAATCGCAAGTATGTAGACAAATTAATAGCAGTATGCTGAGTTTAATCTGTTTTCAAAATCCTATTTCCATATAGGTATATTAGCAGCAAGGATGACGCTAAAAACAGAGCGTGATGTAAATTAACCAGGGTCGATAATGTATGGCATAGTGAAACGACTATTCTCCAAGTCTGGTGGCGATGTACAGGATGCGTAATAATTAGTATTCCAAATAGCCGTTATGACAGGATAAGTTAATATGTGATCGTCAGGTAGTCGCGGCCAAGGGCAGATTGCTGAAGGAACCTGGGACAAAGTAGTACATTAAAGTATTTGTGGTTGGCAAGGTAATTCTGCATTGACTGAACAAAATCATGGTCTTAATCAAATTCGTTTTCAATTTGCAGTTTCAGGCTGGAGAGCCTATCATCTAGTTGCTGTTCAGGAGTAGGTGGTGGAATCTTACTCAGAGAAGGTGGAATCATAACAAGGCGTTGAATGTATTCTGGTTGGCATTTGATTTTCTGCACTGTTTACCTGCGTGTATAAACACTACTACGGACCCACCATGGTGGAGTGTTTACCCAGAACATCAAGAAGCGCTGAAAAGGATCACATTCAAGCTTTAGGCATTCAATCTCTTCACAAGCTTCAGTAGCTAATTTCCTTTAAGCCTATTTACATCCGTAAGCTGCTACATTAGAGAATCAATCCAGTTTTAAATTCCTGATTTAGTTATGGAAGAATATGAGCAGCGAAATACGCTAAACAGGCTGAAGAGAGCAAATATAGGAGCTGCAAACGAATTCCTAAGACTGGCAGATTGGCTAGAAAAAGCAGTCAGTTTATCCAAGGATACTGCAACGTTACGTTACTCAAGTGGGTGCTTAGCAGTTGGTCAGGATTCCGTCAGATGAACAGCTGTTGGATTAAATGATGCCAGTAAGTAAGAGAAGTTGATTTGGAGTAAGGCAGAAGCAATAATTTTATTTTCCATCATAGATTAACTCCCAATTGAGGGGCAGACATATGTTATCCAGCTGCAGCAAAGATTTTAGGATGGATTAATTACAGGAACGTAAATAAATTAGCAGCAGATTGTAGGAATTAACCAGTTCATAGAATCCTATATCTGTTAAGACGGATTAGCGACGAAATTAACTCCGATCATGTCTGGAGAGGGCGAGTAAAAAGGATCAGGAACAGCAGCATAAAAATAGAATTAAAAAACCAGAATTTTATTTTTTCCAGAATTTTTCCAGAATTAAGAAAACCAATTTTAGTTTTAATGAATTATATTTAAGTAGTTTAAGTAATTTTGTGTTAATAAAATGTAATAAATCATCGATCAGATGTGAAAAATTCAACCAGTTTGGTTATTGAGTCCAACTTTTTGGACAGTCCATCAACGGTGCGGCAGCTGCGAAGGACAGCCTTGAGTAGATCCTCAGGAGGTGAGCCTTCCATAGGGGGCTCTCCGGAGAGGGAATCCAAGTCACTTCCAGGGGAACAACTGTGGCCAGGTTGGTCCGACGAGGACAGCCACTGAGATGGCATTCCTGGCCTTTCCAAAGCGATGGGAGAGGGCATCCTGTAACGTGATTCCCGCTGCTCAGGCGCACAATGGGGTTTTTCTGGAGGAGAACGACGCATAGGTGGACCACAGTCATAACTGGAGTCGCTTGAATAGCCCTGAACCGGTAGTACTGAACGCCGAGAGGATGCGCTGTGGTGGCGACGGCGGAGTAAGGAGTGCTTTCGGTTAGATGAAGTTTTTGGTGGTTGAGAATTTAGATAAGATGGGCCAGAGTCGCTGCTGGATCTGCTGTGGTCACCATGGGTTAACAAAAAGGACACACGAGGTGCCTTGGAGTTAAGCTGAGTAGATGGCTTCAGTTGCCGAGCACGGCGGGATGTGGTTGGCTGGGATTGAGAACGTTGAGGAATCAGGCTGGGGCGATGGCGCCGAGACGGAGAGAGTACACGGCGAGATGATGTTGTGCGTGGCCGAGATGGTCGATTAGTTGTGCAAGAATCGCCGCTGGAGTTGCTCAAGTCATCCCGAGCTGGCTTGGAGTGATGCGGATCATGCTTAGTAGGTGAAGGAAGCGGTTTAAGTAGATTGAGCGCACGATGGAAAGTCATTGGAGGAGATATACACTGCTGAGATTGCGAGGTGGAAAGATGACGCTGAGCCGAGGAGTTAGTTGGTCCTAGAGAAAGACTTTCCTTTGCTTCCATGAACTTAACACAGCCACTTACAAGGCAACATGTTTGCCACCACAGTTGGCGCACTTAGGTGGGGAAGACCTTGGAAGTGGGCAGACGGCCTTGTGATGCGGGCCAGCACAGATTACACAGACAGGATCGCGGCGGCAGTAGTTTTTAGTGTGCCCGTAACGCTGGCACCGCTGACACATTGTAGGCTCTTCCGATTGCCTTTGACGCTCGATGGTAACAGGCCTGTTGCAGAGCTTCTTGATAGCAAGGAATTCGTCAACACGTTCCAGGTCGAACGGTGCTACAGCAATCTCAAAAAGGTTCTTTGGCTCATGGCTACGATAAAACTTCAGGTTTCGGATATGGCATAACGTGAAGTTCAAAAGCTCAAATTCAGCACGAATACTTGAGATAGGAATTGAGTGATGAAGACCTCGAATAATAAAGCGACGATAGTCATTTAAATGTCGCATAATTGAGTGGGCCCGATATCCTGATCCATACAAGTTCGAGAGGATGAGGGAGTGATCTTCCTTGGTGAAGCAGGTCACCTTAACTCTGCTCTCATCCAGACGGGTAACCTCATAGTCGATAATCTTCGAGGAGCAGGAGCTAAGGAATCCTTTAAAGTTGAATACTGATGAGACATCCAAAACAATTATTGGGGGGATGTCAACCACTTTATTCGATGAAGCAGTACAGTTTTACAGTTGGTACAGTTTTTTATTTTCTTTTCCTTAGTGTGTTTGTCGAATACGACCGATCGCAGTTAAGGCTTGTGAAAGAGTGAAACAGAATCGCAATGGCTGAAAAAATGGTGCAGCACAATGAAACGAAAACTACGCATTAGAATAATGCGACAGCGCAGAGCAACTTTAAGAGAGTATGTGCGTATAACACTTTGTTCTATGTGTGTGGGAGTTGCATACGGAGAAAAAGAAGCACAGAAGGAGAGCAAGCAATAGATTTGTAGTTTTTGTGATAAAGAAATGCATGCATATGTATAATATAAAATATTTGTGTTGCAAGCTTTAATATTGATTCCTTTCTAGTGTTATTTCCTTTAAGATTGGCAGAATAAGGATTTATGCTATAATTTAAATGAACAATTAAAAGATCATCATGACGTAGATGGTTTAATTTCCAAAGAACTTTCATATTGCCAATTAACTGTATTGTAGTTAGGTCTACAAAATACTGGGGGTTGTGTTAATAGGTAAATCATTGGATTGGCTAAAAGAACTCCACAGTTTTCAGGATAGTCATTAAGGTGCACTCCTTATAATGGAGCAATGTCATTTGTCAGCAGTTAGATTTTTGTGGGGCCACTGCCAGTATTAGTTAGCGACTTGGGGTCAGCAACAATTGCGTGTATGAGAGAAATGAGGGAATCAAGTTTTATACTTAGGTCACTTACAGAGGACACACTCTGTTGCATCATTAGCAGGAGGTCGCCATTAGTTGATGAGGGAGCAGACCAGGTTCTTTGAGGCAAGCCAATTGGTGCAGAAAACGGCTTCTCTCGTGCTGGTGTGATTGACTGGTGATTGCGCTGGAATGCATGACAACATTTATGTTTGAGACATGTTTGTCATTTTCAAGTCGCTGCTCATTCATAAGTTGCTGCTCATTCCTAAGTTGCGGTTGAAGTTTCTTTAAATGATTTTCAGCTGGATTACGCGATAGAAGATTTTGAGGAGACGTATGGGGAGAGTTACTAAACGGATTCCTTTTGCCTAATTTAGGATTTGACGAAGGAGTGTTAGCTTTGTTAAGATGGGGCTGAACGTCAGACATTATAGTTGCTCTACGACCACTAGGAGACCGCAGTTGATCCCTGAAACCTTCACGGATGAAATCCTGCTGTTGTAAGGATGTATTTTGAGGTAGCTGCTTGTACTGTTACTGATGACTGTCGTAGTAGGTGGGTTGGGGATTAAACCTAACCTTAGATTGGTGTGTCCTAGATTGACCATTATCGGCAGAGTGTATACGATAGGCAAGAAGACGGGTTTTGAATTCTTTGTACACCGTGCAGCCTTTATAACTGGCAATATGTCCCAGACCACAATTGGCACACTTTGGATTGGCAATTCTAGTGTTTGCACAGTCCGTGGAAGGGTGGCTTCCAGCACACTTAAGACAGACAAAGTCTCGGCGGCAGAAGTTCTTTGTGTGTCCAAAGCGTTGGCATCTGTGGCACTGAGCCGGCTCCATTCTCCTTAATTGCCGCTCTACTGTAACCCTCTGATTACCCAGCATAGTAACGGAGAGGATCCTATCATTAGAGTTATCCAAAGAAGGTGCCAGTTCAACCTCAAACAAATCCAGCGGCTTGTGACTACGGCGGTGCTTGATATTATTTATATAGCGGACAGTGAAGCCCAAGTTGCTAAGGAGTTTGCGGATCTGATCATAAGGTGTAGAATGGTGGAGTCGACGAATAATTAACCTATACCCTCGATCAGAACGAGGTTGGTGAGTATGAGTTTGCTTGTTATCAGTCTCTAATTTGTTCATGATTAATTGGTAGGTGGTGGAGTTGCTGCAGGTTATTTTGATATAGTTTCCATTTAGTGCTGTAGTGGTGAAGTTTTTCTCCAAAACTCCTGGAATGGAGTTAAGAGAATCAAGGAGGGGTTGGATGATAGTCACATTATGAAGGAAAATAGCCGGAATTTTATCCTCTGCATTACGAAGAGAAGCCAGTCTGAGCAGAATCGCAGCATCCTTGCTGGTAGAGGGACCATCTTGAAGAAAATTATCCGGAACTTTATCCTCAGACCTATGATTGATGGGAAGATTGGGATCCTTAGTTGAGTTTTTACTCGTGGAGGGAATGTTAGCAACATTTGAATTAAATTTTGGTAAAAGAATATCACTCTTAGAGGAACTAGTGTTATGGCTAGCAGAACCACGCTTGGAGCGCTTGCGTAGAGATAAGGATAGAGGGAATGGTTTCTTCCTCTTACTACACATTGGTCCTGGTTTACCAATGAGCAAAGAGCTCCCGAGAAATTTTCGGAGTGGAGGTGGATAACGGGTCAGTGCTACATTCCATGTGGACAACGTCTGAAGTCTCCATCGCAGTGACACTTTCCTGATTCGCAGAGGTAGGTTTATTGATGGCTGTGCAACCAGGAGAGCCTAGGTGATGTAGAAACACTTTTTTTTTCGAAGGAACTAGCAGAGCTGACGATGGATAGAGGTAGTGCATCCACGTTTTCATTTAGATTGACTTCCTCTACCTCCAGACTAAGATCCATGTTGTTGCTGTTGCTGGGATTAGAGGTGATGGGTTCCATCCTACCACGTGTAAAACTCAGTTACGTAAAAGACGACTATGTACGGAGGAGTATGATGGAGTTATTGCAGTGGATCAGTAGATGTAATGGAGTAGTAAAAAGTATTGGTGCAGTTTGGTGAGTTCGTGCAGTTATATGTATTAGCACAATGGTGAGATTTGCACAACGTCAATACAGATAAAATTACAATTGTAACAGAAAAAACAATATACGTGTAATAGATGTATGAAGGAGTCTGCCTACGTGTATTCAGCCACATACACGAAACAGATGCTTGTAATAGTATGCGCAAAATTAAAAGTTCACGTGGAACAGTTTTTAGAAAATTAAAAATTGGTTGTGAAGTATTAAAATAAAGCACGCACACTATTCATAGAATTAAGTTAACACACTTGCCACAACATGTATATTTATAATTTAGGAGTAACTTCTTTTTCTTTTTCAGTTTTTTTCTTTTTTATTTTCTTTTCTTTTTTCTTTTTTCAGGGCGTGCCTTCGATGAGGTCACAACTAGGACTGATAGCCACTACCAGAGTGGTTACAGCTTTTTATTTGCGTAATATACAGTGATTACTTACACTAATACATTTTATACAAATATTAGATAACATAAGAAGCAATTAATAACAAGCTTATAGGAATAATTGAATTACTTACAGTTTTTAACATATAAGATTTGGAGTATCAATAAAGAGAAAAGTAAACAGAATAACTGAAGTATTTTATGAATAATGCAGATTTAGTATAAGGATAATTATTTACTAAGAACGTTGAGTCCAACCGTTGACCTGGAATCCTGAAGGCCAAATCAGTGGTCAGAACGCTGGGTAAATGGAGAGCGAGTTGGAAAGCCGGTACTCAATGACAGAGTAGTTGTTTGGAGGCTACCGCAAAAGTTAGGAGTTCAGGAGTCACAGATGTAAACAGGTGCGGTTGGTGAGGAATGATGCAGGTTAAGAGTAGTAGGATATAATTTGGAGCAATTAAATAATAGATGCAACAGAATTAGGTAGTAGACAATGAGTATAAAAGAGTTTTGAATCCACTTAGATAAAGATAAAATTCGATCGTAGGGTCCAAGCATCGACCTGAAGTCCTGGTGGCCAAGCCAGAGATCCAAACGCTGGGAAGATGAAGCTGGATTGGAAAGCCGGTGCCCAGTGGCAGGGTAGCTGGTTGGAGGCTGCTACCAGAGCTAGGAATACAGTGCCCGATCCCCAAGTTTAGGGAAATTGGTAATCAGGAGTCACAGATATACGCAGGTGTAGTTGGGAAGGAGTGATGTAGATTTAACAATAGCCAACTGGAATATCAATCAGCAGTCAGGGGTAGCCGGAGCCTGAAAATTTTGAGGAGTAAATTAGTAGGAAAGGTATGGTTATACTGCCTTTCCCGGCAAATCAGTGCCATAGTAATCTTATAATTTTAGTAAATTGGCTGACCAGTCAGATACATTTGTTTATTTAAGGTAGAGCTTCGTTTAGTTAAACAACATGTATAGCAACAAGTTGCTAGGTAGTGTAGAAACAAATGTTTCAGAGACAGGGTTGCTGTGTTATAGCAACATAAAGAAACTGAGCGTCAGAGTGTAGGGTAGGAGGGCATGTGAGGAATATACATGGGTCTCGCTCTAACCAATGACTTTAAGCATAACTGGCAAAGCTAAGTTAGTATTAGTGCTAACTTAGTGCTAACTAGTGTTAATAGTAGTAACAGGCAATTATATTTGGAGTAAAAAAGCAGGAATTATTAGATGCAAAATTTCTTATTGCAGATCTATACACCAAAGAATCCAATATGTGTACGTGTGTAGTATGTGTAGTATGTGTTGGCCGTCAAGCAGAGTTTAAGTTGGATTAAACACAGGTATGTACATAAGTTTACAGCAGTATGATGAATTAATAGATCCAGGCTTGTATTAACAGATCAACCTCACACCAGTGGTCACAGGAATTGAGATTAGAAAGTTACAGTAGGTGGGCAGATTTATTTGGAGCAGATTCATTGTAGCTTTATTCCTGTTTGAGAGTCCAGCACAGGCAGCAGAGCCAACTGCATAGCAGACATCCAGGTTGAATTTACTACAGGTATGTGGATGCAAAAGTAATAGTATGATAAGATTAATCCAAGTTTAAATTATTGTTCCAGTTATGGGGGACAAGCAGCAAGAGGATGCCAAGCAAAGCCAGCGAAGGCAGATAAAGAAGTAGCAGGCAGCATCTGATTAATCCATGATCCTACAAATCAGTATCACTGAGCCACGTTCTGAGCCAGGGAACTAGTATGTGATTGAATTCCAACTGCAAGGCAGACACCGGGATGGATTAATCGCAAGTATATAGAGAAATTAATAGAAGTATGCTGAGTTTAATTTGTTTCCAAAATCCTATTTCCGCAGAGGTATATTAGCAGCAAGGATGACGCCAAAAGCAGAGCGCGACGCTAACTAGCCAAGGTCAAAAATGCGTGGCACAGTGGGACAACCATTCTCCAGGTCCAGCGACGATGCACGGATATCATTGCACCGCGCTCAGTAGACACACAGCACTTATTAACAGGTCCCAAATTAATAGCGCCATATAATATCAGCAGGTATAGAACCATAGAGACTGGAAAGCTTCACTAGGTAGACAGATTCATTTTAAGTAGATTAATGGTAATGATTTCATCTAATATTTCTAATTGCAGTTTTATTCCTGTTTGAGTATCCAGTAAATGTACCAGAGCCAGTCACATACATAGGAGTCGTTTGAGTTTGGTTAATCACAGGTATGTAGACAAATAGGCAGCAAAATAGTAAGTTTAATCCAAATTTAAAATTTCTGTATGAGTTGTGCAGAATAAGCAGCAAGGAAACGACGAGCAAGGTTGGAGGGCAAATTTAGGAGCAGCAGGCAATCTCCGATCCACCACCGGTCAAGAAACCAGCATGTATTTGGGATCCAGCCGCGAAGGCAGACATCAGGATGGATCAGTCGCAAGTATGTAGACAAATTAGTAGCAGCATGCTGAGTTTAATCTGTTATCAAAATCCTATTTCCGTAGAGGTACATTAGCAGCAAGAATGACGCCAAAACAAAACACAATGACAACCAAGCAGGGTCAAGAAATGTATGGCATAGTGGAACAACCAATCTCCAAGTCCAGCAAAGAAGTACAGATAACACTGCGCCACGCTCAGTAGGCACACAGCATTAACTACTAGGCTCTGAATTAGTAGCGCCGTATCATTTCAGCAGTCTCGGAACCATTGAGATTGGAAAACTTCACTAGATATGAAATGACTTCATCCAATATTACCAACTGCAGCTCTACTCTTGTTTAAGTATCCAGTAACTGAACAGAGCCAACCACATGTTTAGGAGCCGTACAAGTTAGATTGAGCATAGGTAAGTCAGCATAATAAGTTTAATCAAATTTAAAAATTCTTTATCAGTTGAATAGGATAAGCAGCAAGAAGAACATCGAGTAAGGTTGGAAGGCAGATTAGGAGCAGCAGGTGAACTCCGATTTGTTACTGGTTCAGAAGCTAGTATGCGTTCAGGATCCAGCCGCAAAGCAGACATCAGGACGGATCAATCGCAAGTATGTAGACAAATTAATAGCAGTATGCTGAGTTTAATCTGTTTTCAAAATCCTATTTCCATATAGGTATATTAGCAGCAAGGATGACGCTAAAAACAGAGCGTGATGTAAATTAACCAGGGTCGATAATGTATGGCATAGTGAAACGACTATTCTCCAAGTCTGGTGGCGATGTACAGGATGCGTAATAATTAGTATTCCAAATAGCCGTTATGACAGGATAAGTTAATATGTGATCGTCAGGTAGTCGCGGCCAAGGGCAGATTGCTGAAGGAACCTGGGACAAAGTAGTACATTAAAGTATTTGTGGTTGGCAAGGTAATTCTGCATTGACTGAACAAAATCATGGTCTTAATCAAATTCGTTTTCAATTTGCCGTTTCAGGCTGGAGAGCCTATCATCTAGTTGCTGTTCAGGAGTAGGTGGTGGAATCTTACTCAGAGAAGGTGGAATCATAACAAGACGTTGAATGTATTCTGGTTGGCATTTGATTTTCTGCACTGTTTACCTGCGTGTATAAACACTACTACGGAGTCACCATGGTGGAGCGTTTACCCAGAACATCAAGAAGCGCTGAAAAGGATCACATTCAAGCTTTAGGCATTCAATCTCTTCACAAGCTTCAGTAGCTAATTTCCTTTAAGCCTATTTACATCCGTATGCTGCTACATTATAGAATCAATCCAGTTTTAAATTCCTGATTCAGTTATGGAGGAATAGGAGCAGCGAAATACGCTAAACAGGCTGAAGAGAGCAAATATAGGAGCTGCAAACGAATTCCTAAGACTGGCAGATTGGCTAGAAAAAGCAGTCAATTTATCCAAGGATACTGCAACGTTACGTTACTCAAGTGGGTGCTTAGCAGTTGGTCAGGATTCCGTCAGATGAACAGCTGTTGGATTGAATGATGCCAGTAAGTAAGAGAAGTTGATTTGGAGTAAGGCAGAAGCAATAATTTTATTTTCCATCATAGATTAACTCCCAATTGAGGGGCAGACATATGTTATCCCGCTGCAGCAAAGATTTTAGGATGGATTAATTACAGGAACGTAAATAAATTAGCAGCAGATTGTAGGAATTAACCAGTTTATAGAATCCTATATCTGTTAAGACGGATTAGCGACGAAATTAACTCCGATCATGTCTGGAGAGGGCGAGTAAAAAGGATCAGGAACAGCAGCATAAAAATAGAATTAAAAAACCAGAATTTTATTTTTTCCAGAATTTTTCCAGAATTAAGAAAACCAATTTTAGTTTTAATGAATTATATTTAAGTAGTTTAAGTAATTTTGTGTTAATAAAATGTAATAAATCATCGATCAGATGTGAAAAATTCAACCAGTTTGGTTATTGAGTCCAACTTTTTGGACAGTCCATCAACGGTGCGGCAGCTGCGAAGGACAGCCTTGAGAAGATCCTCAGGAGGTGAGCCTTCCATAGGGGGCTCTCCGGAGAGGGAATCCAAGTCACTTCCAGGGGAACAACTGTGGTCAGGTTGGTCCGACGAGGACAGCCGCTGAGATGGCATTCCTGGCCTTTCCAAAGCGATGGGAGAGGGCATCCTGTAACGTGATTCCCGCTGCTCAGGCGCACAATGGGGTTTTTCTGGAGGAGAACGACGCATAGGTGGACCACAGTCATAACTGGAGTCGCTTGAATAACCCTGGACCGGTAGTACTGAACGCCGAGAGGATGCGCTGTGGTGGCGACGGCGGAGTAAGGAGTGCTTTCGGTTAGATGAAGTTTTTGGTGGTTGAGAATTTAGATAGGATGGGCCAGAGTCGCTGCTGGATCTGCTGTGGTCACCATGGGTTAACAAAAAGGACACACGAGGTGCCTTGGAGTTAAGCTGAGTAGATGGCTTCAGTTGCCGAGCACGGCAGGATGTGGTTGGCGGGGATTGAGAGAGAACGTTGAGGAATCAGGCTGGGGCGATGGCGCCGAGACGGAGAGAGTACACGGCGAGATGATGTTGTGCGTGGCCGAGATGGTCGATTAGTTGTGCAAGAATCGCCGCTGGAGTTGCTCAAGTCATCCCGAGCTGGCGATGGAGCTCGGCGAGGTGGCTTGGAGTGATGCGGATCACGCTTAGTAGGTGAAGGAAGCGGTTTAAGTAGATTGAGCGCACGATGGAAAGTCATTGGAGGAGATATACACTGCTGAGATTGCGAGGTGGAAAGATGACGCTGAGCCGAGGAGTTAGTTGGTCCTAGAGAAAGACTTTCCATGAACTTAACACAGCCTTTGTAAGTGGCAACATGTTTGCCACCACAGTTGGCGCACTTAGGTGGGGAAGACCATGGAAGTGGGCAGACGGCCTTGTGATGCGGGCCAGCACAGATTACACAGACAGGATCGCGGCGGCAGTAGTTTTTAGTGTGCCCGTAACGCTGGCACCGCTGACACATTGTAGGCTCTTCCGATTGCCTTTGACGCTCGATGGTAACAGGCCTGTTGCAGAGCTTCTTGATAGCAAGGAATTCGTCAACACGTTCCAGGTCGAACGGTGCTACAGCAATCTCAAAAAGGTTCATTGGCTCATGGCTACGATAAAACTTCAGGTTTCGGATATGGCATAACGTGAAGTTTAAAAACTCAAATTCCGCACGAATACTTGAGATAGGAATTGAGTGATGAAGACCTCGAATAATAAAGCGACGATAGTCATTTAAATGTCGCATAATTGAGTGGGCCCGATATCCTGATCCATACAAGTTCGAGAGGATGAGGGAGTGATCTTCCTTGGTGAAGCAGGTCACCTTAACTCTGCCCTCATCCAGACGGGTAACCTCATAGTCGATAATCTTCGAGGAGCAGGAGCTAAGGAATCCTTTAAAGTTGAATACTGATGAGACATCCAAAACAATTATTGGGGGGATGTCAACCACTTTATTCGATGAAGCAGTACAGTTTTACAGTTGGTACAGTTTTTTATTTTCTTTTCCTTAGTGTGTTTGTCAAATACGACCGATCGGAGTTAAGGCTTGTGAAAGAGTGAGAAACAGAATCGCAATGGCTGAAAAAATGGTGCAGCACAATGAAACGAAAACTACGCATTAGAATAAGGCGACAGCGCAGAGCAACTTTAAGAGAGTATGTGCGTATAACACTTTGTTCTATGTGTGTGGGAGTTGCATACGGAGAAAAAGAAGCACAGAAGGAGAGCAAGCAATAGATTTGTAGTTTTTGTGATAAAGAAATGCATGCATATGGATAATATAAAATATTTGTGTTGCAAGCTTTAATATTGATTCCTTTCTAGTGTTATTTCCTTTAAGATTGGCAGAATAAGGATTTATGCTATAATTTAAATGAACAATTAAAAGATCATCATGACGTAGATGGTTTAATTTCCAAAGAACTTTCATATTGCCATTTAACTGTATTGTAGTTAGGTCTACAAAATACTGGGGGTTGTGTTAATAGGTAAATCATTGGATTGGCTAATAGAACTCCACAGTTTTCAGGATAGTCATTAAGGTGCACTCCTTATAATGGAGCAATGTCATTTTTTGAAAGGTATCTAGTAATGAGCAGTTAGATTTTTGTGGGGCCACTGCCAGTATTAGTTAGCGACTTGGGGTCAGCAACAATTGCGTGTATGAGAGAAATGAGGGAATCAAGTTTTATACTTAGGTCACTTACAGAGGACACACTCTGTTGCATCATTAGCAGGAGGTCGCCATTAGTTGATGAGGGAGCAGACCAGGTTCTTTGAGGCAAGCCAATTGGTGCAGATAACGGGTTCTCTCGTGCTGGTGTGATTGACTGGTGATTGCGCTGGAATGCATGACAACATTTATGTTTGAGACATGTTTGTCATTTTCGAGTCGCTGCTCATTCATAAGTTGCTGCTCATTCCTAAGTTGCTGTTGAAGTTTCTTTAAATGATTTTCAGCTGGATTACGCGATAGAAGATTTTGAGGAGGCGTATGGGGAGAGTTACTAAACGGATTCCTTTTGCCTAATTTAGGATTTGACAAAGGAGTGTTAGCTTTGTTAAGATGGGGCTGAACGTCAGACATTATAGTTGCTCTACGACCACTAGGAGACCGCAGTTGATCCCTGAAACCTTCACGGATGAAATCCTGCTGTTGTAAGGATGTATTTTGAGGTAGCTGCTTGTACTGTTACTGATGACTGTCGTAGTAGGTGGGTTGGGGATTAAACCTAAACCTTAGATTGGTGTGTCCTAGATTGACCATTATCGGCAGAGTGTATACGATAGGCAAGAAGACGGGTTTTGAATTCTTTGTACACCGTGCAGCCTTTATAACTGGCAATATGTCCCAGACCACAATTGGCACACTTTGGATTGGCAATTCTAGTGTTTGCACAGTCCGTGGAAGGGTGGCTTCCAGCACACTTAAGACAGACAAAGTCTCGGCGGCAGAAGTTCTTTGTGTGTCCAAAGCGTTGGCATCTGTGGCACTGAGCCGGCTCCATTCTCCTTAATTGCCGCTCTACTGTAACCCTCTGATTACCCAGCATAGTAACGGAGAGGATCCTATCATTAGAGTTATCCAAAGAAGGTGCCAGTTCAACCTCAAACAAATCCAGCGGCTTGTGACTACGGCGGTGCTTGATATTATTTATATAGCGGACAGTGAAGCCCAAGTTGCTAAGGAGTTTGCGGATCTGATCATAAGGTGTAGAATGGTGGAGTCGACGAATAATTAACCTATACCCTCGATCAGAACGAGGTTGGTGAGTATGAGTTTGCTTGTTATCAGTCTCTAATTTGTTCATGATTAATTGGTAGGTGGTGGAGTTGCTGCAGGTTATTTTGATACAGTTTCCATTTAGTGCTGTAGTGGTGAAGTTTTTCTCCAAAACTCCTGGAATGGAGTTAAGAGAATCAAGGAGGGGTTGGATGATAGTCACATTATGAAGGAAAATAGCCGGAATTTTATCCTCTGCATTACGAAGAGAAGCCAGTCTGAGCAGAATCGCAGCATCCTTGCTGGTAGAGGGACCATCTTGAAGAAAATTATCCGGAACTTTATCCTCAGACCTATGATTGATGGGAAGATTGGGATCCTTAGTTGAGTTTTTACTCGTGGAGGGAATGTTAGCAACATTTGAATTAAATTTTGGTAAAAGAATATCACTGAGGATCTGGACTTTGGAAGCACTCTTAGAGGAACTAGTGTTATGGCTAGCAGAACCACGCTTGGAGCGCTTGCGTAGAGATAAGGATAGAGGGAATGGTTTCTTCCTCTTACTACACATTGGTCCTGGTTTACCAATGAGCAAAGAAAGCTCCCGAGAAATTTTCGGAGTGGAGGTGGATAACGGGTCAGTGCTACATTCCATGTGGACAACGTCTGAAGTCTCCATCGCAGTGACACTTTCCTGATTCGCAGAGGTAGGTTTATTGATGGCTGTGCAACCAGGAGAGCCTAGGTGATGTAGAGACACTTTTTTCGAAGGAACTAGCAGAGCTGACGATGGATAGAGGTAGTGCATCCACGTTTTCATTTAGATTGACTTCCTCTACCTCCAGACTAAGATCCATGTTGTTGCTGTTGCTGGGAGAGGTGATGGGTTCCATCCTACCACGTGTAAAACTCAGTTACGTAAAAGACGACTATGTATGGAGGAGTATGATGGAGTTATTGCAGTGGATCAGTATATGTAATGGAGTAGTAAAAAGTATTGGTGCAGTTTGGTGAGTTCGTGCAGTTATATGTATTAGCACAATGGTGAGATTTGCACAACGTCAATACAGATAAAATTACAATTGTAACAGAAAAAACAATGAACGTGTAATAGATGTATGAAGGAGTCTGCCTACGTGTATTTTAGCCACATACACGAAACAGATGCTTGTAATAGTATGCGCAAAATTAAAAGTTCACGTGGAACAGTTTTAAAAAAATTTAAAATTGGATGTGAAGCATTAAAATAAAGCACGCACACTATTCATAGGATTAAGTTAATACACTTGCCACAACATGTATATTTATAATTTAGGAGTAACTTCTTTTTTTTTTTTTTTTTTTTTCTTTTCAGGGCGTGCCTTTGATGAGGTCACAACTAGGACTGATAGCCACTACCAGAGTGGTTACAGCTTTTTATTTGCGTAATATACAGTGATTACTTACACTAATACATTTTATACAAATATTAGATAACATAAGAAGCAATTAATAACAAGCTTATAGAAATAATTGAATTACTAACAGTTTTTAACATATAAGATTTGGAGTATCAATAAAGAGAAAAGTAAACAGAATAACTGAAGTATTTTATGAATAATGCAGATTTAGTATAAGGATAATTATTTACTAAGAACGTTGAGTCCAAGCGTCGACCTGGAATCCTGAAGGCCAAATCAGTGGTCAGAACGCTGGGTAAATGGAGAGCGAATTGGAAAGCCGGTACTCAATGGCAGAGTAGTTGATTGGAGGCTACCGCAAAAGTTAGGAGTTCAGGAGTCACAGATGTAAACAGGTGCAGTTGGTGAGGAATGATGCAGGTTAAGAGTAGTAGGATATAATTTGGAGCAATTAAATAATAGATGCAACAGAATTAGGTAGTAGACAATGAGTATAAAAGAGTTTTGAATTCACTTAGATAAAGATAAAATTCGATCGTAGGGTCCAAGCATCGACCTGAAGTCCTGGTGGCCAAGCCAGAGATCCAAACGCTGGGAAGATGAAGCTGGATTGGAAAGCCGGTGCCCAGTGGCAGGGTAGCTGGTTGGAGGCTGCTACCAGAGCTAGGAATACAGTGCCCGATCCCCAAGTTTAGGGAAATTGGTAATCAGGAGTCATAGATATACGCAGGTGTAGTTGGGAAGGAGTGATGTAGATTTAACAATAGCCAACTGGAATATCAATCAGCAGTCAGGGGTAGCAGGTGCCTGAGAATTTTGAGGAGTAAATTAGTAGGAAAGGTATGGTTATACTGCCTTTCCCGGCAAATCAGTGCCATAGTAATCTTATAATTTTAGTAAATTGGCTGACCAGTCAAGGGTCAGATACATTTGTTTATTTAAGGTAGAGCTTCGTTTAGTTAAACAACATGTATAGCAACAAGTTGCTAGGTAGTGTAGAAACAAATGTTTCAGAGACAGGGTTGCTGTGTGATAGCAACATAAAGAAACTGAGCGTCAGAGTGTAGGGTAGGAGGGCATGTGAGGAATATACATGGGTCTCGCTCTAACCAATGACTTTAAGCATAACTGGCAAAGCTAAGTTAGTATTAGTGCAGTGTGCAATGCAAGAAAAACAATAATTGAGTAGCACATGTTGTTTACAATTTTAGCAATAAGTTTTCTCGTTGCAAATCCATTCCCAATCAAGAAATCAGCGCCTGCATAGGATGTAGTATCAGGGCAAACATCAGCCTTTATTAATCCAAGGTATGTGGCAAAATTTGTAGAAACAAAACAAGTTCGTTCTGACAGTTAATAAGTTGAACATTATCTAGTAACAGGCAATTATATTTGGAGTAAAAAAAGCAGGAATTGTTAGATGCAAAATTTCTTATTGCAGATCTATACACCAAAGAATCCAATATGTGTACAGGTGTTGGCCGTCAAGCAGAGTATAAGTTGGATTAAACACAGGTATGTACATTAGTTTACAGCAGTATGATGAATTAATAGATCCAGGCTTCTATTAGCAGATCAACCTCACACCAGTGGTCACAGGAATTGAGATTAGAAAGTTACAGTAGGTGGGCAGATTTATTTGGAGCAGATTCATTGTAGCTTTATTCCTGTTTGAGAGTCCAGCACAGGCAGCAGAGCCAACTGCATAGCAGACATCCAGGTTGAATTTACTACAGGTATGTGGATGCAAAAGTAATAGTATGATAAGATTAATCCAAGTTTAAATTATTGTTCCAGTTATGGGGGACAAGCAGCAAGAGGATGCCAAGCAAAGCCAGCGAAGGCAGATAAAGAAGTAGCAGGCAGCATCTGATTAATCCATGGTCCTACAAATCAGTATCACTGAGCCACGTTCTGAGCCAGGGAACTAGTATGTGATTGAATTCCAACTGCAAGGCAGACACCGGGATGGATTAATCGCAAGTATATAGACAAATTGATAGAAGTATGCTGAGTTTAATTTGTTTCCAAAATCCTATTTCCGCAGAGGTATATTAGCAGCAAGGATGACGCCAAAAGCAGAGCGCGACGCTAACTAGCCAAGGTCAAAAATGCGTGGCACAGTGGGACAACCATTCTCCAGGTCCAGCGACGATGCACGGATATCATTGCACCGCGCTCAGTAGACACACAGCACTTATTAACAGGTCCCAAATTAATAGCGCCATATAATATCAGCAGGTATAGAACCATAGAGACTGGAAAGCTTCACTAGGTAGACAGATTCATTTTAAGTAGATTAATGGTAATGATTTCATCTAATATTTCTAATCGCAGTTTTATTCCTGTTTGAGTATCCAGTAAATGTACCAGAGCCAGTCACATACATAGGAGTCGTTTGAGCAAGGAAACGACGACCAAGGTTGGAGGGCAAATTTAGGAGCAGCAGGCAATCTCCGATCCACCACCGGTCAAGAAACCAGCATGTATTTGGGATCCAGCCGCGAAGGCAGACATCAGGATGGATCAGTCGCAAGTATGTAGACAAATTAGTAGCAGCATGCTGAGTTTAATCTGTTATCAAAATCCTATTTCCGTAGAGGTACATTAGCAGCAAGAATGACGCCAAAACAAAACACAATGACAACCAAGCAGGGTCAAGAAATGTATGGCATAGTGGAACAACCAATCTCCAAGTCCAGCAAAGAAGTACAGATAACACTGCGCCACGCTCAGTAGGCACACAGCATTAACTACTAGGCTCTGAATTAGTAGCGCCGTATCATTTCAGCAGTCTCGGAACCATTGAGATTGGAAAACTTCACTAGATAGGCAGATTCGCCTTGAGTAAACCAATGGAAATGACTTCATCCAATATTACCAACTGCAGCTCAACTCTTGTTTAAGTATCCAGTAACTGAACAGAGCCAACCACATGTTTAGGAGCCGTACAAGTTAGATTGAGCATAGGTAAGTCAGCATAATAAGTTTAATCAAATTTAAAAATTCTTTATCAGTTGAATAGTATAAGCAGCAAGAAGAACATCGAGTAAGGTTGGAAGGCAGATTAGGAGCAGCAGGTGAACTCCGATTTGTTACGATTTGTTACGAGTGAAACGACTATTCTCCAAGTCTGGTGGCGATGTACAGGATGCGTAATAATTAGTATTCCAAATAGCCGTTATGACAGGATAAGTTAATATGTGATCGTCAGGTAGTCGCGGCCAAGGGCAGATTGCTGAAGGAACCTGGGACAAAGTAGTACATTAAAGTATATGTGGTTGGCAAGGTAATTCTGCATTGAATGAACAAAATCATGGTCTAAATCAAATTGGTTTTCAATTTGCCGTTTCAGGCTGGACAGCCTATCATCTAGTTGCTGTTCAGGAGTAGGTGGGGGAATCTTACTCAGAGAAGGTGGAATCATAACAAGACGTTGAATGTATTCTGGTTGGCATTTGATTTTCTGCACTGTTTACCTGCGTGTATAAACACTACTACGGAGTCACCATGGTGGAGCGTTTACCCAGAACATCAAGAAGCGCTGAAAAGGATCACATTCAAGCTTTAGGCATTCAATCTCTTCACAAGCTTCAGTAGCTAATTTCCTTTAAGCCTATTTACATCCGTATGCTGCTACATTATAGAATCAATCCAGTTTTAAATTCCTGATTCAGTTATGGAGGAATAGGAGCAGCGAAATACGCTAAACAGGCTGAAGAGAGCAAATATAGGAGCTGCAAACGAATTCCTAAGACTGGCAGATTGGCTAGAAAAAGCAGTCAATTTATCCAAGGATACTGCAACGTTACGTTACTCAAGTGGGTGCTTAGCAGTTGGTCAGGATTCCGTCAGATGAACAGCTGTTGGATTGAATGATGCCAGTAAGTAAGAGAAGTTGATTTGGAGTAAGGCAGAAGCAATAATTTTATTTTCCATCATAGATTAACTCCCAATTGAGGGGCAGACATATGTTATCCCGCTGCAGCAAAGATTTTAGGATGGATTAATTACAGGAACGTAAATAAATTAGCAGCAGATTGTAGGAATTAACCAGTTTATAGAATCCTATATCTGTTAAGACGGATTAGCGACGAAATTAACTCCGATCATGTCTGGAGAGGGCGAGTAAAAAGGATCAGGAACAGCAGCATAAAAATAGAATTAAAAAACCAGAATTTTATTTTTTCCAGAATTTTTCCAGAATTAAGAAAACCAATTTTAGTTTTAATGAATTATATTTAAGTAGTTTAAGTAATTTTGTGTTAATAAAATGTAATAAATCATCGATCAGATGTGAAAAATTCAACCAGTTTGGTTATTGAGTCCAACTTTTTGGACAGTCCATCAACGGTGCGGCAGCTGCGAAGGACAGCCTTGAGTAGATCCTCAGGAGGTGAGCCTTCCATAGGGGGCTCTCCGGAGAGGGAATCCAAGTCACTTCCAGGGGAACAACTGTGGCCAGGTTGGTCCGACGAGGACAGCCACTGAGATGGCATTCCTGGCCTTTCCAAAGCGATGGGAGAGGGCATCCTGTAACGTGATTCCCGCTGCTCAGGCGCACAATGGGGTTTTTCTGGAGGAGAACGACGCATAGGTGGACCACAGTCATAACTGGAGTCGCTTGAATAGCCCTGGACCGGTAGTACTGAACGCCGAGAGGATGCGCTGTGGTGGCGACGGCGGAGTAAGGAGTGCTTTCGGTTAGATGAAGTTTTTGGTGGTTGAGAATTTAGATAGGATGGGCCAAAGTCGCTGCTGGATCTGCTGTGGTCACCATGGGTTAACAAAAAGGACACACGAGGTGCCTTGGAGTTAAGCTGAGTAGATGGCTTCAGTTGCCGAGCACGGCGGGATGTGGTTGGCTGGGATTGAGAACGTTGAGGAATCAGGCTGGGGCGATGGCGCCGAGACGGAGAGAGTACACGGCGAGATGATGTTGTGCGTGGCCGAGATGGTCGATTAGTTGTGCAAGAATCGCCGCTGGAGTTGCTCAAGTCATCCCGAGCTGGCGATGAAGCTCAGCGAGGTGGCTTGGAGTGATGCGGATCACGCTTAGTAGGTGAAGGAAGCGGTTTAAGTAGATTGAGCGCACGATGGAAAGTCATTGGAGGAGATATACACTGCTGAGATTGCGAGGTGGAAAGATGATGCTGAGCCGAGGAGTTAGTTGGTCCTAGAGAAAGACTTTCCTTTGCTTCCATGAACTTAACACAGCCACTTACAAGGCAACATGTTTGCCACCACAGTTGGCGCACTTAGGTGGGGAAGACCTTGGAAGTGGGCAGACGGCCTTGTGATGCGGGCCAGCACAGATTACACAGACAGGATCGCGGCGGCAGTAGTTTTTAGTGTGCCCGTAACGCTGGCACCGCTGACACATTGTAGGCTCTTCCGATTGCCTTTGACGCTCGATGGTAACAGGCCTGTTGCAGAGCTTCTTGATAGCAAGGAATTCGTCAAAACGTTCCAGGTCGAACGGTGCTACAGCAATCTCAAAAAGGTTCATTGGCTACGATAAAACTTCAGGTTTCGGATATGGAAATTCCGCACGAATACTTGAGGTAGGAATTGAGTGATGAAGACCTCGAATAATAAAGCGACGATAGTCATTTAAATGACCTAAATGACTGTCGCATAATTGAGTGGGCCCGATATCCTGATCCATACAAGTTCGAGAGGAAGAGGGAGTGATTTTCCTTGGTGAAGCAGGTCACCTTAACTCTGCCCTCATCCAGACGGGTAACCTCATAGTCGATAATCTTCGAGGAGCAGGAGCTAAGGAATCCTTTAAAGTTGAATACTGATGAGACATCCAAAACAATTATTGGGGGGATGTCAACCACTTTATTCGATGAAGCAGCCATGGTACAGTTTTTTATTTTCTTTTCCTTAGTGTGTTTGTCAAATACGACCGATCGCAGTTAAGGCTTGTGAAAGAGTGAGAAACAGAATCGCAATGGCTGAAAAAATGGTGCAGCACAATGAAACGAAAACTACGCATTAGAATAAGGCGACAGCGCAGAGCAACTTTAAGAGAGTATATGCGTATAACACTTTATTCTATGTGTGTGGGAGTTGCATACGGAGGAAAAGAAGCACAGAAGGAGAGCAAGCAATAGATTTGTAGTTTTTGTGATAAAGAAATGCATGCATATGGATAATATAAAATATTTGTGTTGCAAGCTTTAATATTGATTCCTTTCTAGTGTTATTTCCTTTAAGATTGGCAGAATAAGGATTTATGCTATAATTTAAATGAACAATTAAAAGATCATCATGACGTAGATGGTTTAATTTCCAAAGAACTTTCATATTGCCATTTACCTGTATTGTAGTTAGGTCTACAAAATACTGGGGGTTGTGTTGATAGGTAAATCATTGGATTGGCTAATAGAACTCCACAGTTTTCAGGATAGGCATTAAGGTGCACTCCTTATAATGGAGCAATGTCATTTTTTGAGAAGGTATCTAGTAATGAGCAGTTAGATTTTTGTGGGGCCACTGCCAGTATTAGTTAGCGACTTGGGGTCAGCAACAATTGCGTGTATGAGAGAAATGAGGGAATCAAGTTTTATACTTAGGTCACTTACAGAGGACACACTCTGTTGCATCATTAGCAGGAGGTCGCCATTAGTTGATGAGGGAGCAGACCAGGTTCTTTGAGGCAAGCCAATTGGTTTTCAGGGCGTGCCTTCGATGAGGTCACAACTAGGACTGATAGCCACTACCAGAGTGGTTACAGCTTTTTATTTGCGTAATATACAGTGATTACTTACACTAATACATTTTATACAAATATTAGATAACATAAGAAGCAATTAATAACAAGCTTATAGAAATAATTGAATTACTAACAGTTTTTAACATATAAGATTTGGAGTATCAATAAAGAGAAAAGTAAACAGACATTGGCTTTTTAATTTAGTTTAATAGTTTGTTTTATTGGCTTTTTGAATTTGTAGTTGGCTTTTAGTTGTATAGCTGGTTTCTTAATTTGCAATTTAACAGTTTGTCTATTGTTTCACAATTAGTTGGCTTTAAATTTACTCAAAACAGTTTACATGGATTTTGGTTTTAGTTTTAGTTTTTAATTAACATGGACTTTGGTTCGATTCGATTTGATTTTATCTTGTGACGACCGCCGCCAACGGTCACAATCGCAAAGAAAGTGGTGAGCATCCGGAGTATTACCCCGGGGGGCAACTTTTGTTCCGGATACTCACCACTTTACATGGCGGAAAATGGCGGTATCGATAGACATAACGATAAACATGGCGGGAAATTCATTGGGCAGCAAGACATCGGAGGTAGCTTAGAGCCAGGAGAAGGACATAGGATACTTTTTGTCCCGTTCGACAGCGCGAATTATACTCCACCGAACTATACTCCACCGAACTATACTCCACCGAACTATACTCCACTTATAGTAATGAATAAAAGTAAGTAGGCTGTGAGCGTAACGTATCATATTTTTATGTACGATATTATGTATTTATACATTTATCTAGATGTATAAAGGTAATGAAAAGGCGCGTGTAAGCATGGCGCAGTTACGTGAATCACAATCGAAAGATGCACAAGAAAATGTCAAATGAAAATGTCAAAATGTCAGCAGCTAGGCTTGAGCGAACACGATTGAGAGTTAGGCAGTCGCGTTCTGCAGCAATCGATTTGATTCGGATGTTTAATTAATAATGCCGCGACCAAGACGATCGTATCTTTCCCGACAAAGCCGTAATGCAAGAAGAATACAAAATACTGCAAATGAAAGGACTGAAGAAGAACAAGAAATTGCACGTGAACAGCGCCGCAATAGTATGGCTCAACTTCGTGCTTCTCAATCACGAGAGCAAAGTGAAGCAGCCCGTGAAACAGCTCGGTTGGCAATTCAGAATCGTCGAGCGAACAACAGAAGTCAACAAATAGATAATTTGCGACGCAGAACAAGATATTTAGCTAATTTGAATCGAGCTGCGTTTCGATACGATTGCAGCAATGATTACAGCTTGCATCCTAGCGTTTGCATTGGGCAAATGGACGTTGTTTGCGTGTATTGTGTGCATTAAAGTTTTCCGGAGAAACGCCTGGATTATGCTGCGTTAATGGTAAAGTGAAATTGCCAGTGTTGACTCCGACACATGAGCCATTGTATTCATTGCTTTGCGGCGAAACACAAGAATCACGCCACTTTCTTGCAAATACTCGAAAATACAATAGTTGTTTCCAAATGACGTCATTTGGGGCAGACATTATCGAAGAAGGAGGTTTTAATCCGACATTTAAGGCATTTATCTATATATATAAAAGAAAGTCGTGTTAGTTACACCACTTATAACTCAAGAACGGCAGAACAGATTTGGCTGAAAATTGGTAGGGAGGTAGCTTAGAGCCAGGAGACGGACATAGGATAATTTTTATCCCGTTCGACAACGGGAATTATACTCCTCCGAAATGGCTGCTTTTATAGTAATGAATAACAATAAGTAGGCTGAGAGCGTAACTTATTGTACATTTATGTGTGTGTCATATGTGTGTGTCAAATAGGGGTCCGCCGATTACTTATCTACAGTCAACAATGCCAAGATAACGCAATTGGGCCAATTTTAGTTATCAAACAGTCAATTCTAGAGCTGCGCAAGATAGAAGAATACGAGATCAGGAGAACAAATTTATAAAGGTAATGAAAAGGCGCGTGTAAGCATGGCGCAGTTACGTGAATCACAATCGAAAGATGCACGAGATGAACATAATCAACAAAGACCACTTTTCAAAGAAGAGAAGCGCACAGATTAATAGTTAGAAGAAGAATTAACTAACAACGGCAACAAGTTTATCGAGGATTCACATCTGGGCAATTTCTTCGACTAGCATTCCAGTAAGAGCCTGTTGAAAATTCTGCTTATTCCAAAGTGATTATTGTGAACATTCAAAGTGAAAGTTCCAAAGTGAACATTCCTTATTTCGCTTCTTCCTGCCGAGTTACGATTAAAAAAAAATGGCAACGCATTGGCCATTTCATCTTCTGGCGTTGCAGCAACCTTATTAGATGGAGGCAAAACAGCTCATTCAGCACTTAAGCTGTCATTGAACATTCAAAATAATCCAGATGCAGTGTGCAACATAAAAACAATCGTCTGTGGGCATAGTGCCCATATTTTGGATGAATGCACTATAGGACGTAAAAATTCGCTTGGGGAATTGGATTGGTCATTTAGGGATATAAGGAACAATGATCAACTATTTTACGGCCCTTTGTTACTCCTTTCAGGTGTTCACGGTTAATGTACGCTGATGAATTCAATGCTT